AGATGTGAAGCTAAGGGGTTACCAGAGTTCAAATTCATCCTGAGGGGGTTGTAAATGTCTGTCCACCTCCAGAGGGAATATCAGGGGTTCACAGTGACTGTGAACCCTGTGTTTTTACCAAATGTCATAGCAATCCATACAATAGTTGTTGAGATATTTTAGTCTCGACCAAAGTGGTGTTGTGTCAGTGCATGACAGACTTTGACCTTCTCTCTAATTAAGAAAAAGAGTTTCTGTATGGAGACATTTTAGTCCCTGAGGAGCCCTGTGGTTCCCCTCTACTTACTCTTGTTTACTTCTTGTCTTGACTTCTTTATTTTGACAACAGAGTCTCAGTCTGATTGGGCATCATTGTTACACACAAACATTCAAACACACCATTGTGCCTCTGGCTTCCAGTCCCCTGCCTATAGCTTCTCTTTGGAGAGCATCTCTGTTTTCTCTGAGACCGGTTATTAGTGTGGTGAGTCAGCTCCCCATTCAGAACTAAACAGAGCAGGGAGATGGTTTGGCTCTGCTGCTTTTATTCCTGAATTATTCTGCAGTAAACATGAGTGATCAGACTCCAAGACCACCCGTCGCCATGAGTGATCAGACTCCAAGACCACCCATCGCCTAGAGTCTAAACTGAAGTCGGGCAGTCGCATTCACACATTGGCTTTGTTGGCATGTGGATTTGCTACAGGTAATTTTTTTTTTTCCAGCCATGCAAGTGGTGTGTTCTAGGTATAATGATGCTGTTCTGTCTCTCACTTGGTCAGCCCACCACTCTGGTCCAGACTGAAATGTAGAAACTATCAGATGGATTGGCATAAAACTTTGTACATCAAAAGTAGGTGTGATTTAGCAGATAATGATACAGAGCCATGGAGGACTTTACCCAGAGTTAAATTAATAAATGTGACCTGAACAACGTCATTTGGAAATGCCAGCAAAGATTTTGTTAGCAGAAATCCAAGCACATACCTACTATGATACTGCTCTGTTAGCTACCAACTAGCTAGCAATCAAGTGCAGTTTCATATGATGGCAGGGTTAGCTAGTCACCCCAAATCACATCTGATCTCATAAATGTATGCAACATCCTCTGAATTCACAATAAGTCAGCAAAAATTGGCAAAATTTACTTAAATACCAAAAGTGAAAGTTGTTTTTTTCAGAAAATTGTCCTATTGACTGATGAATAATAATAATTTCCCAACCCCAGCTGTCGACCCTCTGCAACGCTTCACCACATCAATCTGAGTGGCAGTAAGATTATTAATAAGAACAAAAACAAAAAGGAAATAAAGCTGACACATTCAAATCTGTTTTCAGATTTTCTAATTCCTCTAATTTTTAGCTGGATTTAGTGGGATTAGCTGAACAGTTAATAAAATAAAACCATGTGAGAAGTTTAGTCGCAAGCCAAAAAAGGTTTAACTGCTGGTTTAATCATTCAAAATGTATTGTTTTTGATGTAAAACTTACAGTACATCGGTAAAGTGGTAGCTCAAAGTAGCTAGTGTCAAATAAATGTGCTAAAAAGTAAAAAGCACAATATTTTGCTCTGAAATTTAGTAGAGTAGAAGTATTAAGTAGAATAAAATGGAAATACTCAAATAACAAGCTGCATTCTTATTCTCTAATTTATATTCATGCTTTTATTTATTTTCATGAAGTTTATTCATGTATGAAGGTGCGCAGTAAAGTGTGAAATTTCACTTTTTCCAGGTCAGCTGAATCCTTGTTGGATTACAGTGCTACAGTAAATTACACAGGATGCACAATAGGATGAACCAAATGAGGATATATTTTAGTGCTGGTCACCGTGGGCTGTCGTCTGCTTGCTGTTGCATTTAAATGGCATTTCCCCACTGATAGCTGTTTAAGCATACAGAATAAAAGCAGTGAAAGTGTTTGCACTTTGCCGAGATGGCTTTAAAGTCTCCGAAAACATTCTCATAAAACAACAGCGCACTAATGGATTGAACTTACCCGCTGAGACATCTTTTAATGGCTCACCGATTGAAAGACTGTATTAAGACCTCACAGAAGGAAAGGCAGTGTGCAGGGATTTGTAACTCAAAATCTGATATACAGTAGTTCTAAAAGCAGATGTGCATAAATTATGCGCATAATGATTAATTACAGCAGAGCACTGTTGAGTGCTTTTCAATACATGAGAAATTGTGTGCGAGTGACAGAGCTGTAAAAAACACGGTGGAAGGGCATGTCAGTTAACTGAGCTAAACTTTTTCTTTCAGAAGTCAGAATTTTTTTTGTCTTTGTCATAACATCTTTTCATATGATTTCTGCTGCAGAAAACCTCTTTCATGTGTGAACAATAATTTATTCATTCGTCATAACAAAGATAACAAGCAGCTGAAGTATGCATGCTGTGAATACTATGTGCAATGCTTTTTTTTGTTTTAATTCTTATTACCCCTGTCACATCAACTGTCCAACAACACACAGACAACAAGTGATAACTGACATCATCAAGATGTCAGTGAACATTATGCACCTGCCATGAATTTAACATGTAGATAATGATTGGTTTATTTATGAAGTACAGTAAGTGCAGCCACTTTATGATCTGACATGTTTATTCTTTGATTTGTGGAGGCAGAGCAGCTCAGCTCACTCTTACAGATGTTTAATAACTGAGTCTGGGATAAATGTGAATGAATGTGCAGGGAGGGCCACCTGCATCGGGTTGATGAACGTCGATAGGGAAAGTCTGTGTAGTTTGACCAAGGCTGTGTTAGACTGCTAGCTCTGTGGCTGTAGAGATGCCACGTTGTCAGTCTAACACTTTGGTCCAGATGGAAATTTCAACTTTAATGAAATTTTGTACAAACATTCATGATCAGCAGAGGAAGAAGCTGATGATTCCCTCCCTGTCTAATATGCCACCATTACATGTCGCTAACTGTGTCTCCTCTCTCCCGTAGGGTGTCCTCTCTCTCTCTCCCTGTACCTCTCTGCAGGTAGCCCTGGCTCTGGAGCTGTACATTTCTGATGAGCAGTCACCAGCCGCATCAACCTGACCAGTGTTTGATTGTTTGTTGTTGTGTTTGTTGTGTCAAGGCAGAAGGCCACCCACCAAGAGCCGGGGTCTGTCGGAGGTTTCTTCCGTTAAAGGGAGTTTTTCTTCCCCACTGTCGCCAAGTGCTAGCTCAAGGGCGATTTGTTGGGTTTTTCCTCTATAATAATAATTAATAGTAAGGTCTAGACCTTACTTTGTAAAGTGTCCTGAGATTGTGATTTGGCACTCTACAAATAAATCTGAATTGAATTAAGATGGTTTAACATCTTAGTAATTGTAGTATTAGCATGTTAGCGTTGTCTGCAGTATTTCCAATACTTTTAAGGAGCTAAAAAGGGCTGAAAGGCTGCTCAAGTCCATTTTTAAAGGTCATTAAATACAGAAATTTGATGGATACAGTGCTCTCTTCAAGCAGGAATTTTTAACCTTCACACATCCAACTTTGAAGTAAAACAACTGTTGCTCAGTGTTATTACTTTATCCAAGTTACATGCCTGTATAGTAGCCGTGAATAGTTATTTTAGCAAACAATTTACTTGCTAGATAGTATGTCTATGACGTTATTCAACCATCTGACAGGCAATTCTGAGGCAGCACACTGCCACCTTAAATGGAACGTCACAGAGCCCCTAGCATGACCGAGGATATCTTGTTCACTTTAAACGAACATTACATCTCAAAGAAGCGTTTCCCTCAGGCTTGTCAGTGTGTCTGCATGTGTGCACATTATTTGTGGCTTGCCATGCCCTTAGTTTACTTTCCTGAGAGCACAGAACGTTTTTTCCTACTCAGATTGATGTCTGCTTCTGCAACCAGCAGCCTTTGCTGACTTTACATGATAGATGGCCTGAGTGTTTAAACTGCCCTTGGCAGGACCCAAACTCTTTCTCAACAATTACTTGGTTGGTTTGTTCTTTCTAATCACTGATATGTCATTCTGTGCCATAATGCTGAACAATAGTCTGCTCCAAGCGTTAGCGGCTAAACTCCCTCTTTCTCTCTCTCTCTGTCTCTTTCACTTTTCATCCCTGCTCTCCCACACTCTCACTCATTCTCCATGCATGTCTTATATAACTCATGCAACACTAAATGCTCTAAAGCAAGATTACGTCTTTGCTCAATATTGATAACGTATATAATGTCTGTTAATGCACTCGTGGCCATTTCAACATGTCATGTGGGCCCTTGCTGAAATCGCACAGAGCCTAATTTTCCTTAAAAATTAAAGCTACATTCTTCCTGGCTGGGATGCTTGGTCTCCATGGTAACATCAGGCCCATTATAAGTACCATAAAGAGCATGTGAGGGTTATGTTAAATCTCCAGTCTGCCAGTCTTCATCACCTCACTGGGTTCATTGTGTAACCCGCAGGAATATGTCCTTTCTCTCTTTTCTCTTTCTCCTCTGCCACTCTCCTTGTCTCTCCTCATTTTCTGTCTGTCACACATGCTCAGTCTCTCTCATATTTTTTTTCTGTCCTATAGATGTTCACTCACACACACACGCACTCGCACAAACTGAGTCAAACACTGACCCCCAGTGGAAAAGCACTGAACTCTAACAGGATGATAATACTCCTACCCATCTGCAGTTTTGCAGTAGTAGTGGAAAGTAACTAACCACATTTATTCAAGTACTATGCTTAAAGACTGAGGTTCTTGTATTTATTTAACCAGGAAAACCTGTTTAAAATTTTCTTTTTTTAAGAGTGTCCTGGACAAACAAATCGTTCAACACAGGCACAAATAATACAAATAACTCCATAACACCCTCTCGTTAGTCAAGGCCCAAAAAAGAGGAATCATCCACTAAAACAGCAAATGAATACAGATTCATGTATGAGAACTTTGTTTTTCTATTAACCATCTCACGAACCCACGGATTTATCTGGTGACCCTAGATTGAGAACCACTGGGCTAAACAACTGTGTAGGTGAGTAAAAAAAAATCCTTTTCCTTGTGTCTCTCAGGTCTTCACTCGCTACGGGAAGTGTTACACCTTTAACGGAGGTGGTGACGGACGGCCTGTCCTAATCACCACCAAGGGAGGTATGGGTAATGGCCTCGAGCTCATGCTGGACATTCAGCAAGATGAATACCTGCCAGTCTGGGGAGACACAGGTGAGGGGAACATCATTTATTCCACTCAGTGGTTTGCAGATCGGATTATCTCTCACACTTTAATAGTGTGTGTGTGTGTGTGTGTGTGTGTGTGCAGGTGTGTTCTCTTGGTTTCTGTGCTGATGTGAGAAAAAAACTCTTCGAAGTGTTTCGATTCACTATGTTACAGTGATCCAAAGCTCTCTGTCCCTCCTGCAGACGAGACATCGTTTGAAGCTGGGATCAAGGTTCAGATCCACAGCCAGGACGAGCCATCCTTCATCGACCAGCTCGGGTTCGGAGTGGCGCCCGGCTTCCAGACATTTGTTTCCTGCCAAGAACAAAGGGTACAAAGCTTTGCGTCTGGTATATGATAAACGTGGATTCTGGTTTGTTGCAACTTGCATGTTATTTATGTACTTCTGCTCATCAAATCCACACTAAAGTCAAACAGGGCAAGAACGTGTGTGGCCAGGTCATTATTGATTAGTCTGTCAAATTTTATCTTGATGAATCAGTTTTTTTTTGTTTTTGATGAAAAGATGCCCATTACAATGTCTCAGCATCCAAGTGTTTTCAAATTGCTCTTTTTTCCATACTATTCTATTTTTTAAAAGATCAAACTTAATAACATTATTTTATATTCTACATTTGACTTGAAAGTATCAGTAACTGTATTTCTAAGTGAGCTGATACTATAGAAAAACAGTTGTTCTTGTGTAATAAGTAATGTGTTGAATGATGTGTGGTTGTTGCAGCTGATATATCTTCCCCCACCCTGGGGAGACTGTAAGGTGACGCCCATGGATTCAGACTTCTTTGATAGGTACAGCATTACAGCCTGTCGCATTGACTGTGAAACACGCTACCTGGTGGACAACTGCAACTGTCGCATGGTGCACATGCCTGGTAGGAAACCACTCTTATGTTGAATCAGAGTTGCATCAATAATCTTGCAGAGAAACGTTACTGTGCACACTTCAAAAAGAGGGAAAGTAGGAAAGAAAATTTCTTTGATGCGAGTGTGTTGCTTTGGCTGCAGGCGATGCACCGTACTGCACCCCTGAGCTGTACAAAGAATGTGCTGATCCAGCTCTTGGTAAGAAAAAGTCTTCGTTCATGTCTTCTCTGAATCGTTGAGGTGCACATTTTGACTACACGCACACACACACACACACACACACACAAATCATCCTATGACACTGTCAGCGCTGCACCGGTCTGTTCAAGGTTGTTCTGGTTTTCATCGCTCCAGATTTCCTGGTGGAGAGAGACAGTGATTTCTGTGTGTGTGAGACACCGTGCAACATGACCAGATACAGCAAAGAGCTGTCCTTCGTCAAGATCCCCAGCAAGGCCTCTGCCAAATATCTCGCAAAGAAATACAACAAATCTGAGCAGTATATTAAGTAAGTAATTACCACATGCATAAAGATACTATATATGGTATTGTTCAAAGGATTTAGGTACTGAAGTTGAGGTGAGAATGATTTAAATATAATGGCAATAATAGATGTTATTTATTAATTAAGTGTATGCATATTGCAGTGAACAGAAAAAAAACCCCAAATCAATATTTGATCAGTAACCCTTTACCTTTAAAACAGCACCAGTTCTCCTAGGTACACTTGCACACAGTTTTTACAAGTACTTCAAGACACGCCTTTTCATGTAACCCCAGGCTGACTCCATGATGCTCTGTGGGGTCCACACCATCTAACTCCATACACAATGCTGCTGACGCTTGAAAGTTAACATCCCCATAAGATCTACACACCAGATTCTGATCTGAATCCAAGTAATATTTGGAATGTACTGATCCAGTATGTTCACATTTGCAGGGCTCATGGAAAACTACTCTGAAACACCATTGATGCTACAGACTTGCAGCTAAGATCAAATTCTAGCTGAAACTCTGCTGACTGAGCTAGATCCTGAAGGAAGCCGTCATTACTGAAATATTATTATTCCCGAATAGCTTCCAAACTAGTAATGATATCAAGGTGAATCCAAATGCCAGCGGTAGGTTTTCATGGTCAAGCAATCATATTACAAAGGTCCAGCAATCATGGGAATATTGCTTTTAGGTGTAATGGCATTACAGGGAGAGTGAGCTGCCCTGGTGGAGGTTTGCACATTGGGATCACTCAGCTGTCTCCTTGATAGTATTGTGTGATGGATAAGAATCTAAAAGTCTAAAGGGCTTAAAACTTTTGCACAGTACTATATTTATCTGCTTTCAATAGTGTACAGGTTAAGTTTCTGATTACTTACATTGCATTATTCTATTATTATTACTGTATTCATTCATCCAGTCTATTTTTTATTTTAATCTAAAATGAAAAAGTCACCAAAAAAATAGTAATATGTGAATTATAGCTCATTTTAAATGGAGGTAACACTTGAATTTCTCCTATTTAACATCTATAAACAGTTTATGAATATTTAATAAACTATAATACACTAATTATAGAGATATAAGGACATTTCTAAGGAGAGGAGAAGTTATAACTGTTGACAAATCCTGTACATAAGACTTAATTGTTATTAATTAAGATAGTTAATGCTGAATAGGAGAGTTTAGAGTAAAATGTTACCTAAAACGGACCTTTAATGTTTTAACTTAACCTTATTTTGTCTCCACAGGGAGAACATCCTGGTGTTAGACATCTTTTTTGAGGCTCTCAACTATGAAACGATTGAACAGAAGAAGGCGTATGAAGTGGCTGGACTTTTAGGTACAGCTTTAATGGAAGCCTTTACAGTGTGCGCTGTAGACGGGCTGTCTGTTTTTGTAGAAGGTTGTGTTTCTAAGGGAATCTTCTGTTTTCTTATTGCAGGTGATATTGGTGGTCAAATGGCGCTTTTTATTGGGGCAAGCATACTGACTATTCTGGAGATATTTGACTACCTTTATGAGGTGAGATGTCTTTTGGAAAGTGTTTAGACAGATTAGAATTATTCTGCTGTATCTTAGGTTTTCACTTGACAAAGAGCTGTAACTGCCACTCAGGACACTGGCATCACATTCTCTGTATTTTATCTGGGATTTGAGGGTTTTAGAAACCTGGGGGAGTCGTAGTATATTTTATATGTTGTCACTCTTTTCCTTACCTCCTTGTTGCGCCAAGTTTGGCAGATTGTTGATTGTGGTGAGTGTGTGGCTCTGTTTTTTTTTTTTTTTGTTTGTTTTTTTACCTCTCAGGTGATAAAGTACAAGCTGTGTCGCTGCTCTGATAATAAGCACAAGCACAACAGCAACAACGACCAGGGAACAGTCCTGAGCTTAGATGATGTCAAGTGTCACGTCAGTAACTTTCACTAAATGGCTGTGAGGATGAAGCCGCTCTCTTACCTCTGAGCCACGTCATAGACTTTATTCTTTGCCATTTGCCAGGCTGCAACAGAGAAAGTGTTTGAACTGTGCCTGGTGACGGTTTGTGAACAACAAGGTGGAATACAGTAATGTGGATATTGGTAAGGGGACAGACACCAAGCGGAATACAGTGCTCAACATGTCCTGAATTCAAAGACGTTCAAATAACTGCATGGTCATGTGTAAACAGCTTTTAAAGAAATAGTATATCGACCCATGAACTAAGTGAATGCTCATATGTGTTCAGTACACGAGCATTACAAATCCCAGCTGTGTAGTGGTGTTTGTCATCTGTCATTTTGAAGGAGCTTTTCTAAAATAATTGGTGTGACAGATTTATTCAAACTCACAAAATGTCATTTGTTTTGTTTAGACTTTAGTATGTCAGCACTGTATACTTTTCACCTCCCTCCTTCAATGAATGTTGATAATACTTTATTTTAAGGTGTCCATAAATTCCAATTTATTTCCAAATAATCTCATAAGACATTTCCTGGAAATAACTATATACAGTTATTTGGTGCTAAGTCTATATATTTTGGTACCTCAGAATGTTAACCTAACACAACTTGAGACTTTTATTTAGAGGATAGCAGGGGAGCTGCAACTGCCAAATGTGAAATGTGTCGACAGTGTATAATTAAGCATAAAAGAATGGAAATTATATATTTATTTAAACAGACTAGTAAGAAATATCACTGGGGTTTAAATGGAGAGCTTTCTTTCATAGAAATGAAGCTGTGATAAACCACTAAAATAGTCTGTTTTTCATATGCTTAGTACCAAACTATATGGTTCTTTCCAGGAAATGTTCAGTAAATTATTGAGAATTACAGGACCTGTACAACAAAGTGTTAACGGTTTATTTTCATCTACTGTAATTCTTTTTCACCAGATTTTTCTGTTCATTTTATGCAACCTCGTCTTAAGACAACGTTCCCTTGTTAGGCCCTGAACATGAGCGTTCTGCCAGTATACTGTACTACCTCATCTTGAAAGGTGACAGTACCATGAAGACTACAAGTCAACATTAATAACAGAAGGTCATTTTATGTACAGAAATATAAATAGAGAAGATTGAGAAAGTAGCATTAAAGCAAGCCTACGGTAGGTAACATCTGCTGAGCAGCAGTCATAGTCATGTCACAGCACAGATAAAACTAATACACCTAATATGATTAATGCTTCAGTTTCAGGCTTCTGGTGTTGTGCATGCCAGCTCAGCGACAGGGCTTACAGGACACTTCAACAACATGGAGCCATATAGTTAATGTTATTAGTAACACCTGTGCTTTTCTATGATGAGTTAAAATGTCTACTGTGAAAAAGGCTCAAGTCACAACAGGATAATGGTAAACGCTAGTTTGTAGTGTAACAGAACCACTAGTTGTAGAGTCGGAAAACTGATCCAGTAACATCCATTATGCAGCAGTATCTCACTAATGTTTGCTAACATTAGCACAACAAGCTACTGTCAGACCAGAAGAAGCAAAAGCAAAATGTCTGAAGGTACTGAAGTGAATGAACAATAGTTTGAAATAACATGTTTGATTTCTGACAGAGTTTGATGAGAAGATTGATACAACTTTCATATCAAGAAATATGAAGCTATATCCAATATCTAGAAGTGTGGGAAATAGCTAAACAGTTTCTCTCAAATGGTAACAGAACCCACCTAGCAGCACCTCTAAAGTTCACTAAGACATAAGGTGTTTTGTTTGTACAAAAACCAAAACAAGTTATATACGGTTTATGTTCACCTTTGGACAGATCCAGGCCATCTTTGTGCAAATCTACAGTATATAGGATTATGGCTACTGTAAAAAATAAAATAAAATAAAAAAGGAGTTTGACATTAATCTCAGAATTCTGACTATAAAACTGACTTTAATAAATCAGAGATCTGGAAAAAAAAGAAAGAACTCAAATATATTTTTTATGATGGCCCTAATAAAGATGAACTTCCGGGTTGCAAGCGAGAGCAGACGTCTTTACTGCTCCTCTTGTCTGTTCTACGATTTTTCACATCTTCTACATTTTCAAGTGTTTGAACAAATTCTACAACTATTAAAATGCCTCCAAGAGGGAAAAGAGCTAATAAATCAGAAGCGAACGAGGATGTTGAAGCAGAAGAGGATTATATTTCAGCGGCGTAAGTAACAGAGATGTTGAGTCAGCAGAAGCAGATGTACACCGCACTGTTGAGCCAACAACAAGACAACTTCAAAGGTTTTGTGCAACTACTTATGGAGACAAATAACAAGAGACTCGACGACATGACCAGAGAAATACAGGAGATAAAAACAAGTTTGCAGTTTACCCAGCGAGATGTGGATGTGATTAAAGCAGCCATGGGTGAACAGAAAATACAAACCAAGGAAACAAGGGATGATGTCTA